CCTCGACTTTCTGCTACTTTGATGAACCTTAACTCTGTGAAGCCCGAAGTCAGCTAAATGGCTAATGATTACTATCAAAACGCCTGCCATTTGAAATAAATAAATAAATTATTCGTCGTGAGAAGTAATTAAAATGCACATATTTTTAATTAATTGCTCATTAAACGCTTATTAATGACTCTTTTTTAGGATCGACACCGGAGGTTTTAAAGGCACGTGCGATTGCTCCATTCCACGACCAAAATGACGCTTATCAACTTCTCAATTTCAACGATGGAGACATAATTGGAGTGAGTGGAAAAATTCAACATTTTATATTTCAAGAGGCAACGGAACTAAGCTAAGAGTCAGCCGGAGTCTCAATTCAGCTGATTTTTGACTTCCGGTTATTAAATATTTACTTAATCACTCAAGCACCCCTCTGAAATTCAAATTTCATTTAGCATTCATTTATTTATATCAGTTGGGAGGCTTTGCACTAGTTATCATTTGCCATTTAAGCGACTTCAGACTTCACAGAGAGGAGGAGGAACACCAAAGTCACAAAAAGTTGAGAGGGGAAACAGAAGAGTAATTCACAGATGTGAAAGAGATAGACAGATAAAAGTAGAAAAAAGGTGGGGTGAGTACTGTGAAAGTGGTCTAATGTGACATAGAGTGAGGTGATGGTAGTTTGAAGTCAGAAGTCAGCTGCCGATTGAAAGAATTTTTTGTCGTATGAGTATATGTTGTCCAGGGTGCACCACGTTGAGACAAAACCGATCCCACACCCTTTTACCATTCATTAGACTGCAGAGCAAAATTTTTTGGTCACCTAATTTAGTGCTTGTTAACCGTTCGTTTTGGAAAGATGATGTCGATCGGTCTTGACACTTCAATTCGCTTGTTCTTTCGAAAGTTGAGGTGATCGTAACGTAACAAAGCTTTAAGGATTAAATTCTTTTATCAAATCGTAGATCTCACCTTGAATGGAATTGTTCTTCCTTTTGGAACTTACTATACTTGCTCTCTGAAGTAATGACAATATATGAACCTTATTAATATGAGACCCCATGGATAAAGAACGAAATAAGATAAAAAGTAGAGTAAAAGATTTTTTACTGAAAATCGCAATGGCAAGGAGGGAATGGGTAATCAAACGGAGTCTAAAGACGACATCAAGGTACTAGATAGTCACATTTAATTTGATATTTTGGGCTTGGGGCATGCAACATTAATAAGCAGGCATTTCGGTTTAAAAATACAAGTTTTTTGTTGTAAGTTCTCTGGTTTTTTTTGCAATCAAGAAGGGTAGGTCTGGAGGTCTTTATTTATTTCAAATGGCAGGCGTTTCGATAGCTATCATTAGCCATTTAGCTGACTTCGGGCTTCACAGAGGGAAGGTTCATCAAAGTAGCAGAAAGTCGAGGGGTGGGGAACAGAAGAGCGATTCACAGATGTAAAAGAGGCAGACAGACACAAAGGTAGAGAAGAAGGTAAGGTGAGTACCGTAAAGGGGTCGAATACGACAACCAGGGGGGTCGTGGTAGTTTGAAGTCAGAAGTCAACTACCGATTAATAGACTTTTTTTGCCGTATGAGTATACGTTGCCCAGAGTGCACCACGTGGAGGTAAGTCTATCGCACACCCCACTCTTGAGGTATCTGAACGTCTTTTTCCTCTTAAGAAGATGACATAATCAAACATCAGCAAGTTGACAGCGCTACGTGAGCTGTGTTCACCCAAGGTCAATTCATTAAGTCATCTCGTCTTCGGAAGTACCTATTTACTGTAATTTCAATTCATTCAACTTGACGCGTCTAAAATATACAATATATTACAAAATTTCAAAGTGTTTAACATATTCCTTCCTCAATATCTTTTTACATCTATTCACTTTAGACAAATGTCCATTTATTTATTTATCGACCAAATTTAAAACCATGAAGCTGTACTCTATTGGCGAACTTGTTCACTTGTTAATGTGGAGATGGTGCAGATGGTTCCAATTAGTCGAAATTATTATGAATTCTGGTTTTTCATCTAATTTTTTACAACCTATTTGCAATGAGCTATTTCTCCAGGTAATTCATCACAAATGTTTCCAAGACCTGTCATTTTATGACGTTTTTATGCCAAGAAAATGCCGAGTTGGTCCATGGTGAGAAACTATACGCAGAGGTCACCATTCCACACACAACAAACAAATTAAAGCATTGTTTATCGAAAAAGAAAACATGATGCAATTCCTGGACAATACCCATCCTTAAACATTTGAAGTATAAAAGAATTTCATAGCATGAAGATCCCTAAAGTGAGAATTACTGCCATTTTGGCATTATGAATACAGCAAGGTGAATTGAATTAATTCACCTTGGAACAGAAAAGTGAGCTATCGTAGTGCTTCGTATTTGAAGGTGTTGGAGAGAAGGACATATGATCTTTATCTCTAATAAACATAAATCAATCAGTAAAGTGATGTTTGGAATGCATTTGATCTAGCATATGAATGAGTGGATTTACCCAGAAAAGCCACAACAAACCTACACCCCATCCCACCTATTCTAGACCTAGAATAAAGATTCGATTAGGCCAATGAAAAGGGCGTCGATTAGACCATCAATTGATTTATGGCTTATATTCGAATGTTCTTTGTTTACGCAACTGCGGGCATTAATGAGATCATAATCCAACATAGGTTGTGGAAGAGCAGTGTATCGATTTCCTTTGGAAAGCTGTTATCATGACATGAACGCGAATCAGTGGGCAATGACTTGCAGCTTAGGGCTTCCATTTAATGGCTGAGATATAAGTTGAAAGACAGGAGCTACCACGGTCAATTTTTAATTAATTTTTAATTTTCGACGTATTTATCTTGACTTCAACCTCCCCCATCTGGTCACCCTACTTCCACTTTCAACTTATTTTTCCTTAAATTCAGATTTTTCACAATAGCATTCATTCAAAAAAAAATTCGTAGCAAACCAGAAGGAGAAGCAAAAAAACATCCTCTCACTCTAAATCCGGTGTTGTTCTCATAGTTCTTTTTTTCATTTATATTTACAACGTCCAGGTGTTTGCTGATTCATTGAACTCGAAAGAGGACACCGGTTGGTGGCGTGGTTTCCGGTTTGCAAATGGACCTTCAGGGGGCATCGGCATGTTCCCTGCTAATCGAGTTTCACTCCTCCCTCTACCCTATCAACAAAAGCAACCTCAGGCAGCATCTGATGCTCAGCTTCAGTCCACCGAGAGGAAGGGTAAAATCGATTTTTGTGTAAGTTATGCTCTTATATATATATGCTCTTACTAGTCTATATGAGGTGGTTATTCGCGGACCATTAACTCCTTAGATCAATCCTCAAACAGAGGTTCTTTACGTCTACATTGTTTAAAGTTAGGAATAAATTTAAGATATCTTCTAGAAATTCATGAGGTTTGGGATGCCATAAGAGTGCAGCAATCTTTTCTCCTTCAATTCGTGACACTTAGTTATTTATTTATTTCAAATGGCAGGCTTTACGATATTTATCATTAGCCCTTAATCTTTGACTTCAGCTTCCCCCATGGGGGGGGGGGTAGATACATAGAAGCTAATTTGTAGCAGTTCATTAGCTGTCTTCTTGCTCTGGTTTTCCGTCAGATCAGATGGGTCTTCTCCATTTCCTCATGTAGGTTACATATGGTGGGTCTTCTCCGTTTCCTCCTGTAGGTCACATAGACAGGTGGGACTTCTCCATTTCCTCCTGTAGGTTACATAGAGTATATGTGGGTTGAGTGTATACTCTCAATCTGTGAAGGTGTTTTGATTGTATACTCCTAATCTGTGAAGGTGCTTCGCCAGATTTCCTCCTGTAGGTTACATAGAGGGCATGTGGGTTGATCTCTGAACACCGAATCAGGTGGGTCTTCTCCATTTTCTCCTGTAGAGAATCAGATGGGTCTTCTCCATTTCCTCCTGTAGGTTTCACATCAGGTGGGTCTTCTCCATTTCCTCCTGTAGGTTACAGATCAGATGGGTCTTCTCCATTTCCTCATGTAGGTTACATATGGTGGGTCTTCTCCGTTTCCTCCTGTAGGTCACATAGACAGGTGGGACTTCTCCATTTCCTCCTGTAGGTTACATAGAGTATGTGGGTTGAGTGTATACTCTCAATCTGTGAAGGTGTTTTGATTGTATACTCCTAATCTGTGAAGGTGCTTCGCCAGATTTCCTCCTGTAGGTTACATAGAGGGCATGTGGGTTGATCTATACACCCAATCTGTGAAGGTGTTTTGCCAAGCAATCGTATCCAGTACGTACCAGTCGGCTATGTCGGAGAGTGCCACTGTTTCTCCTTTGTTCGAGCTTTAATTTCGTTGCACATTGAGGTCGGTCTCTCCTATTTAAGTTCGTTGCACCTTGAGGTCTTGAATTCTCCCCTGGTTCAGGTCTTCATTGTGTGGAAAGATATCGACTGGTCTATGCCTCTCAAAATTGTTATCCCCTTCTTAGCAAGTGCATCAGCAAGCTCATTGCCTTTAAGATTGTGTGGAAAGATATCGACTGGTCTATGCCTCTCAAAATTGTTATCCCCTTCTTAGCAAGTGCATCAGCAAGCTCATTGCCTTTAATGGCACAGTGACCAGGAATCCATTGAAGAACCACCGTTTTGTTTTTCTCTCTCGGCAGCTGATAGAGTTATCTACATTCCTTCATCTCAGCTGTTTTGGGTGACTATCTGTTTCCAATTGAGTTTATTACTGACTGTGAGTCCGAAAGTATCTCCGCTTTGATGAATTTCGTATCCAGACAACATAATTGGCATAGTGCTATCCTAATGGCCTCTATTTCTCCTTCAAAAGCGGATCTATTGTGTCCCCCTGCTGCGTAGAAAGAGAAGAGTTCAGAATAGACACCTGAACCAACGTTTGCTTGGTTTTCTATGTATGACCCATCAGTGAAGACTTGGAGCCATTAATCTGCAGGATATCAATTCATGACATAGAAGCCTGGAGAACTTTTTGAATTATTAGGAGATAAGACACGTCCGTTCTTGTGGTAATTTAATTTAATGATTTTGATCTTCTTTCGGCAACGTTCTTATGAATAATTTAATTTTTTAAATGAAATTGGTCCAGGTTATAATAAGCTCCATTCATTTGAGTGGGAAAATGGAACGAATCGAATTTTGTTTAAGTTTTGCGTTTCCTGATTGATAATCAATAAAATTACCTTTGAGTCTCTCTCTCTCTCTCTTTCTAAAGGAGGTGAAAGATGCTATTTACTAATCTACAGGGGGGGGATTATTTGAATAAACCTGAGTAAACGTCCACCTAATAAAATTCTCTCAAATTTATTCAAAAAATTCAATAGAAATCCATGAGGATAATTTCAATTTAATCTTCATTGCCTTCTTTTATCTTACATGTCATGGAAGTGAACATTGGAGGACTTATGAATTAGTAAAACATTCTTTGATGTTAGCTCATTGATATTTATGGCATTGAATGCATTCGAATGCTGAAGGTGCAACAAATCTTGCCTCATGCGTTTTGAAGTGAGGAGGTTTAGTTCAAGACAAGAAAGTGATCCAGGATGTGCTCTAGTCGCTTCAAAGTAACGAGAGGATGAATAATTGGCAAATGGCAGGGCTCAAATATGGCCCATTCAAAGAGGCGATGATTTTTTGAGCTTTCCTGTGCTATATAGAAAGCAGAAATCAAAAGTTGAACAATCGAACACATTGCAATCTTTTGATCAGGGCTATATCTTCTTTCTTCCAAGTGGGAGGACCAAGAGTTGGGTTGGAGAGATGTATTTATTTATTTATCTCAAATGGCAGGCGTCTTGATAGTTATCATTAGCCCTTAAGTTGACTTCAGGCGTCACAGAGAGGAAGATGAACATCAAAGTGACAAAAGTCGAGAGGGGACAGAATAATGATTCATAGATGTTAAAGAGACAGACAGACAGACACAAGGGCAGATAAAGATAAGGTGAGTACTGTGAAAGTGGTCGAATATGACATACAGTAAGGTGAGTACTGTGGAAATAGTCGAATATGGCATAGAGTGGGGAAGATGTAGAAGATACAGACACAAAGGTAGAAAAAAGGTGATGTGAGTACTGTGGAAGGGGTCGAATATGACAAGCAGTCGGGCTGAGTACTGTGAAAGTGGTCAGTGGGGCCATGGTAGTTTGAAGTGAGAAGTCAACTGCCAGTTAATAGACATGGTAGTTTGAAGTCAGAAGTCAACTGCCGAATAATAGACTCTTTTGCCGTAGGAGTATAAGTTGCCCGGGGTGCACCACGTGGAGGTAAGTCTAGTTGGAGAGATATCAACTGGGCAATTAGAGGTGGATGTGGGAGAAATCGATAAAGAGAAAATTGGGCAGAGAGGAGTGGGTGCCAGAATTGAGCGGAGACAAAATGGATTTTGAGGTAAGGAAGAAAGTAATTGTGGTATGGCAATTGACCGATTTGGCCTTCTTATTCATTCACGGAGAATTGGCATTTTGAATGAAAGTATTAGTTAAAGAGCTAGCCTATGAGTCAGCGGGCACTGCCCCTTTTTTCCACTTGGCAGTGAACTTTTACCTGCATTGTTTTGCGGAGTGGGCTAACATTCGCGGAGAATGTCAACGGTAATTAGGTCCAATCAAATTGCATTCCCTTTGCCCTGGCATTTATTGTAAAGTAATTTCCGGTTAAGCTAAAATGCGTTAAAATTAATATGAATCTAATACAAATTAATTATTCGCTACTTAATTAGTAATGCAAATAGTTAGAATTTAGTTATTCAAACTACTGGCGAAGACAATTTTTTTGCAAATTCTTTTCCTTCTTCTCCGATTGTTTTAAAAATGTTAACTTAGGTTGGCGAACGAATTCTCACCCACGCTACTATTAGTGTTATTGTCAAGGGACAAATCTCATCATGTTTTTCTATCACATTTTAGGTTCAAGCAGATGTTGCATCAAATTGTTCCTCCTCAGAGGAAGATGACGAAAGCGAGATCAATGATTCAAGTGGAACCTCCCAAAAAGCCGAGATCTCAACTATCTCCAGTGGAATCGACGAGACATCTCCGCAGAATGATTTTGAAGGTCTTCAGAAGGTTGATGATCTTATTCCATCGGCCATGCCTGTGCCTCTAAGATCGTCAATGTTGAATGCTTCTGCTAGCATGGCAACTGAGCCTGGACATACAAGCAACTTGTTGATCAATTCCAGCAATCGAAATAGTGCCACAAGTTTGGATAGTGGACGTGGATCGGCCTATGCTACAAGCTCAGAGGGATTAAAAATGGTAATCATAGCATCCTTCTTGAAACGGCATAATTCATACGTATATTGATTCCTTCAAAGCGTCAGGATGCGAAAGAGAGATGGAGAGGGCGTGTTTGTGTATATCTTTCAGTTAGACATTAAGTGGGGAAAGGAAAGAGGGTTGTGAAATGTGATCTCTTGAACCAACTATTTCTGCACCGCCTAGTCTATGAGGACTTCCTGATTCCGTTCAATTTGATTTGAACTCGACTGTTCCTTGATGAATCACACAACATTGTCTGTGGAAGGTGACACTCACCTGAAATCGGCCACATTTTAAGAGATTGAATTGGTGCCTTCACACATAACCTTGAATTTACAGAGCTGTTAGTTACCATAGTCTGCGGTTTACATTTTATCATAACAGAAAGATGATTGCTCTTCTCAAGACTTGAAATTTGTCAAAACATCTTCATCTCGTGATTAGAATAACTGTTAAAGAAGTATCGATTTTAAATGATGATAATCTGATAAACACCATCACAACATTGAGCAGCCTTTTAATGGATTATTAAAAAATCGATGGACACCATGCACCTGGCATCCTTTTCTAGTACTCTAAATATTTATAAATCCCCCCCCCCCCTCCATTAATATTAATCTTTCTCTAATTGGAAGACAATTTTTGATATCGATTAATTAATAGCCAGTATTTTACGTCCCATATCACTAACCTAATCGGCTTTCGGAAAATATGAAATGAAAGTGGGTCGGGAGGGAGGGGGGGGGGAGAATGTCAAAGTTCAGATATCCATAGGGTAACGGTAAATGGGAATGTTTAGTAAGCCAGGGATAGAGTGTCGTGGCTGAGTAAATCCTCTCACTAGAATGGTCGCAAGACGATTGACTGGTGGCTATTTTGACATGAACGAATTACTCATCACGCTTTTCTGGAGAATAGGTTCGAGAATTAATAGCAAACTAAACGATGCATTTGATGAATTAATAATGGTACAATTATTTAGCCCAAATACAACTTTTCATCAATGTGTCAGATAAATACTTTTTTAATAATAGCAATCAAGGTCGATTTCTCGATAACATCTACTGAGTGATATAGATCGTGGACTTTCATAAATTATTGCTTATAATTATTAGTAAAATCATTTAGGTTTAAAAAGGCTCATTAAGACAAATTTGATTAATTAATTTGCTCAATCGGCAAATTCCAATTTCACTTATTTTGTTGCAATAATCAATAATGTAACTTTGTGCAAAATCAATAACATTGCTAAAAGAGGAAATCAATTCTGCTCTCAATTGAAATTAGAGTGTAAGGCTTTTTACTCCAACTTAACAAAGTATCGAAGGAGAAACAAATGGAAGTCATAATTTTAAATTTCAGATCCAATAACAAGTGTAGAATATGCGAAGGCATACTTGTGACTCTTTATCAGAGAAATACATTTTTATAGCAAAAAAGAAGTGACTGAGTCTCCGATTGGCCAATTTAATCAGCCAATAAACTTTAAGGTACAAACATTGAAAATCGATAAATGATTGTATGAGATGAAACCATCGATTTGACTGCCTGATTCACCCAAGTTTGGTTACCTTTCTACAATAGGACTCTTTATTCTTACCTTGTGATTTACTAACTCTAAAAATTTTAAACTTAGCAGACAATACATTATTCACTTCTGCATTCACCTTCTGGACAGTCTATGCATATTTTTCTCATTGAATTCTCACAAATCAGATACTGTTATAATATATGCAATCACCATAACAACAGTATTTAATGCCGGCAAACACAACAATCAGAAAAGTAGAAGAACAAAGATTAGGTCTAACTATGTCGTTTTTAAAGAGATTTATACAAATAGTTTTTTCTAAAGAATGTTGTGGCTGATTTTAGAAATATTCACAACAGTTGATTAACGTCATGGCACTGTTGTTAAATACTAAATGGAATTAATTAATTCGGAATCATTCACAGAGAAGGAAGAAGAGAGGTCGGGGTTGAGTTTCAAAATGAAATCCGAGTTAAATTGAATTTTTTTCATTTTTTAGAAGTTGTATTAAAAATATTTATTTATTTCAAATGGTAGGCGTTATGATAGGTATCATAAGCCCTTTAGTTGACTTCAGGCTTCACAGAAAGGAAGATAAACATCAAAGTGGCAAACCGTCGAGAGGGGGACAGAATAATGATTCACAGACGTAAAAGAGACAGAGTAGAAAAAGGTGAGGTGAATACTGTGGAAGGAATCGAATATGACATATAGTGGGGTCATGATAGCTTGAAGTCAGAAGTCAACTGCCG